AATAATACAATTAAAATAAAATCATCTAAAATCCTAAACTTACCTAAAAGTAATTCTTCATTAACTTTTACATTCATCCAAAATGCAATAATCAGGTTTTAAAAAAAAAAAAGTCGTGGGTTCTTGCGGGTGCGGGTTAAACTCGCAACCCGCAATCATGCCATATTCCAAACCACATCCGCCTGCATTGTGTCTTCGAAACCGCTCATTTGTATGCAGATTGGTTTGGGCAAAGTAAGTTGTGTGGTTCAAATAACCCTATACCTAACCCTAATTCTAACCTTATTATTAATCCACATATATTAAGTAATTATCAGAATTAAATTTTAAATTAACTTCCAGAGAAAGTGAGAATTATAGGTTTTTAGCTATTGATAGATTCAAATTCATGATTTCTTATATAAGGGTCACTGGTAGACAAATTTATTTATTTATTTATTTTGAACTCAACTCGTTAGACAATTTGAAATAGGGAAATTATATCATATGCACCTTTGGTTAAGACTTTTACATTTTTTGTTACGATCTATTATATTGTTAGTTATGACACCTTATAACGTTAGTTATAATACTATTTTGATTATGATCCAAGAATTTTGTTTGGTTATACATCCTGTGATGTTTGGTTATGTAACTCATTTTTTTTTTTTTTTTTAATTATGACTCGCTCTGCTACAGAGCCCGAAAGGGTTTCGAGCCAAATTTGGCTCGAATTTGAGAAGAAGGAGGAAGAAGAAGAGAATAAGGAAGAAGAGAAGGAGAAGCAGAACTGGAGGGGGCCTTAAAAATAGGGCTGGAGGCGGAGGTGGAGGCGCGGAGGCGGGCGGAGGCGGGCGGAGGCGGGCGGAGGCAGAGGCGACGATCGGCCGACGACCGACGAGCTGCGACGATTGGCCGACGACCGACGACGAGCTCCCACCTCTCCCCTCTGTTTCTCTCTCTCGCCTCTGCTTCTCAGGTTCAAAACGAAGAAGAAGAAGAAGAAGAAGAAGAAGAAGAAAAGAAAGAAGAGGAAGGGAAAAAAAAAAAAATCAAAACCCAAAACCCAAAACGACGTCGTTTTGGGTTTTGAGCCACATTCGGGCCACTAATTTCGGGCCCTCAAACATTATTCAATATTAAATTATGTCATTTGTGATAATTACATGCATTACCTTTGAAACAACTTAGTTGGTCTATTTAGATGAAAATAATTTACAAATTTAATCACCATCGCTTTTCAGAAAATTAAGTTTTTTATTTGTTTTTTATTTTTCATATATTTTTTTAATTTTTGTTTTTAGTGAAATTTTTAAATTTTTTATGATTTTTTTTTAGATACACCTAATAAATACGCTTAAAAGGTATAATATTTGTGAAAAAAACTTTTAAAAAAATCACCAAATAAAAAAATACAAAAAAAAAAAAACAATTCAATACATTTTTGTATTTTATTGCATTCAATAAATACGCTTAAAGATTTTTTGTATAATTTTTTTACTTTTTAAGTATATTAAGATTAAGTGAATCTAAAAACTTAAAAAATTAATTAAAATATTTTAAAATATCATTAAAAATATAAATATGAATTGAAAACTTAAATTTTTTTTTTTGAAAACTGAAAATAAACCGGGTGAATACCATCCAAAAAGTGTGTTGGATTATATATAGTACAAATTCATAGTATCCAGTCTTAAAAGAGATATATACTATAAAAAATGTTGTGTTATTTTATAATAAAAATTATAAAGGGATGAATTCATAATGAATGTCCTTAAAGCAATGGTTATGCACTATTATGGTTATGTTATGAATGTTGTGATTAATTAATAGTGTGGTGAAAATGTTATGAATAATTTGTAGTGAATAATGTTGCACACTAATTTGGTAAGAAAAGTTATAAGATGTTGTGGAACTAATTACAAAATGTTGTGATTTTATTTGATAAGGTGCATATGATTTATTCATTTTTAACTACTGCATAACATAATAGTTTCCTTAGATATATATGAGCAATTGTGAATAAAAATCTTTTTCTAACTATATGTATATATGGCTCTTGGTTAGTACAGTTTATTGGGTTGTTTATAATTTTTCTTTATTTATTCATATAAGAAATATGATGTTAGATAAGTTAATTGTCTAAAATTTAGGGGAGAGATGTACTAATTTTTTAAAAAATTAATTTTCAGTTTAAAAAGAAAAGTTTCACTGAACATACTATCATGGGCCAATCAAATTTGTGTTGCTAATTTTGTTGAAGCCTTGATGGGTGCAGAGTAGTCACAATTGCATGTTCCGAGATTCATTTTGTTAATATAAATTGCTCATTTTTTTTTATAATATAACGAGTAAAAAATAATTATAAAAGATTAAGTTTATCAGATATTAATAATCGTTTCATTATATCACATTTGTATTTAGTTTTATATTTTAAATTATACTTATCATTCATTTTTATATCTACGAATAAAATTTGATGAAAAAATTATCAATCGTTCTCTTGAGTAGACCCTTCGTTCAAACTATATCTGATTATACTTACTTAATTTTTTATATGTACTGCTTGATATACGTTAATACTCCATTTGAATTGAAGGGTTTGATGAGAAAAGAAAAGAAATTATGAGAATAGGAAACTCCTAGAAAATGGTGAGATGGTGAGAAAAGAACTCTCACCAAAGCTTGTTTTGTTTCTCACCAAAAGTAGTGAGATTTGGTAAGAAAAGAAATGGATTTAATGAAACTTTTCTAAAATACCAAAATTACTCCATGGTGGAAGCTAAAAAAATAATTTATGAATATGGAAGGTTACTTTGATAAAATAAAACAAAAATTTCCCTTTTCTCTTCTCTTATTTACTCTATCTAAACAACATTGGTGTAAAAAAAAAAAAAAAAAATCAAATTTTCTTATTTTTTATTCATCCAAATTCTATAATGAGAACCATAATTATTTCCTTTCTTTTCTCACCTAGGTGAGAAATTGTAATTATTATTATTTTTTCACCTTACGATCCAAAATCGAGTTTAAGGTTAAGGACTCCTTCAAGAGAAATTGTAATTATTATTATTTTTTCACCTTACGATCCAAAATCGAGTTTAAGGTTAAGGACTCCTTCAAGCATCTCGAATGATTAAAATCAAAATGGCCTTGTCAAAGTTATTTGACATAGCCATTTTTTGGTTTGTTATAATGTACAAAAATTAATTTTTAAGTATACCATTCCAATAGAAATTTGCTATTTTGGCACAATTGTTTGTCAAATTTAACTATTCAATGTTAAAGTCATGGAAATTGGGATGATTTCAACCCAACCCAATCAAATCCAACCTTTGGCAACCAGATGACTTTGCCAAACATTGAGTCTTGTTATTTTTTGATTAGATCATTATAGCATTAATTTTGTAAAGCAAAGTCATTTTTTTAAACTTTGGTATCACCAATGGGCACATTGAAGATGCCTTTACCCAAATGCATAAAAACTTTTTTTTAGATAAATTAAAAACACACTCTTTAAAATTTGTTTAAAATATAAATTGTCTCTTATAATTTTAAAAATTAAATCCCACCACTTGATGCTTACAATCTCATAACAATTAGTCTATTTTATTAATAAATTATCAAGTTAATTAATAATTTTTAATGATATTAAAAATTTATTTCAATTAATAATTAAAATAATTTTATTATTATATAAGAGAATAGTTAAGAATTTTATTTTTAATTAACTCTGTTAAATAAAAAATTACAATAAGTAAACATTTGTAATTTTTTAAATCACAAAACATAATTTATGTTTCAAATAAATCTTAGGCAAAATTACCTATTCCTCCCTCGAGGTTTAACGAAATTATAGAATCCCCTTGACATTTCAAAAATTACATCCCATCCCCATTGCAATTAACACCATTGACGAATATCATAAATTGACTAAAATGCCCTTTTGACAAATAAGAGCAAATTACTTACACCATCTCAAGGTTTAGCTAAATTACAGATTCCTCCTTGAGATTTAGTTATATTATTATTTTTAAATAAGTTATGAAATGCAAAATTAAAATGAAAAAACACTATCACACTACAAAAAATTAATGTATTAGAGACTAAAATTTAGAGACAAAATTATGTTTAGGGGACCAAATATTTTTATTGCGAAAAGTATCATTGTTATATTTTTAATAACGAAAATTTAATATTAGTGGTTAATTATTATCTTTTTGGTGCCAAATTTTTTATTTCAAAAAATAAACCATTTTGAGACTAAATTATTTTGTCCCTAAAAGTCTATTTATTATTGACATTTTTTAAATTTTATCGCTAAAAGTCTTATTTTTGACTTTTTAGTGATTATCTTAACGACGATAGAAATTAGTCTATAAATGTCTTTTGTAACAAAATTTTCACTTTTAGAGATCAAAAAAATTGGTCTCTAAAACTTTTATATGTTGTAGTGTCAGATGGTGAAAATATCATAAAATTAACAAATAATTAAATAAGTTAAAAACATAAGAAATGACTTGTCAAAAAATTCTAAGAACATGTTTGGTTTGATTTTTAGAATTTTTTTAATTTTTAAAAAAAATTAATTTGGTTAAGAAATAAAAAATAAATATAATTTTTATATAATTTCATCTTTTGCGTGATTAGAAATAATTTTTACAAATTAAATATATTTTTATTAAATTACTTTTTAATTTATTTTTTAAATTATGAATTTTTTTTTCTAAACAACAAATCAAATATGGTTTTCATTTTTTTTTTCCATCACAGATTTCAGTAGGGGTAATATCGTTCATCAATTTATATTTTGGTGATGTCAACTAATCATTCTTAATATTTAGTTAACAGTAGAAGTTAAATTATTACGCAAATATAAACTTCAAAAAACAAAATATAATTTCTGATAAAAAATTTATAATTTAACTACACCTCAAGCAAATGTAGGTAATTTGCCCTAAATCTTGAAAGCGTTTTTTTTTTTTTTTTTAATGTTTTGAAGTCAAACGTGAACTAAACTCGTATTGTTGGGGGAGAAAGCAAAAGCAAAAGCAAAAGCAAAAGCAAAAGCAATTAGACGCTTAAAAAAAGAAAGCAACCTGAAGCGTTATTTGCGGGGGGTATCTGTTAAAATCGGGTTGAGATTGACGATATTGGTGTGGATTTTGATCATCTTAAAACATGGAGAGAAATGGCGATTGTTTCGTTCCAGATATATCTCCCCCGGATATCAACATTCAGCTTCAATCCCCAATTCTCACTCCCATTCTCTTCTTGGACCATGTCGGCGAAGTTGTTCTCTCCCTCAATCCCGACGGCTTGTCTTGGAAATCCATCGAACCCCTATCCAATGTAAGTTTTTTTTTTTTTTTAATTTGTTTATGAGTACATAAAAAATATGGATTTTTTTAACCTCTTGTGTGTCGTGAATTTCTCATTGGCATAATAAACATTTATATAATGGAACAAATATATATCAAATGAATATGTGCCCTGTCTGTACTGATTTTATTTGTAGGATTGTGTTTGTTGGAGCAATTAAGGTAGTGGGTTTGTGAAATATTTCATCTTTTGCTTCATGATCACGAATTTTGGTTGGTTGAGGATATTCTTTGTTTGTTGTTATGATTATAACATAATTTGTAGAAGCTGCGGTGTCTTGGCAATCTGTGTTTTGAATGATTACCACTTTTTTCGAGTTATTGTTGTGAAAAAAACTCAATTATAATGTAGACGGGTAGATTTCAATATAATACATGATCATAATGAAGATGGCTTGTTTTTTATACTTGTCTAAAGCACTAAACCCCAAGGGATTGGCTTGGTGGCAAGGCCTTGGGTCTTGGGGGTGTGTCTGCTCCCTCAAAGGTTTGTGCTAACAATTCTTTGGGGCCATCGGATGGGGAAAAAATCCTTGTATTAACCGTGGTGCACTTGCAGAAAATTCCTTGCCGAGGGCTTGTGTACCCTGGGAATTAGTCGGGCTTTGATCTATACACCCCAGTGCCAATCAAAAAAAAAAAAAAAACGTCCTTGTATCCATATCCAACTTTGGATATATGTCCTAATATCCTAATATTTAGGTTTATGAATGTTTGATGCTTGGACATGCATCCACAGTTCATACTCATATCTGAGCCCATGAAACATAGACTGTAATGACTTAGGTAAAACCAAGAACCAATGAACATTGAGTTTGTTAGAAAAAGGCTAGTGTTTGATTTATTAGATACTATGTGCACCTTGGTAGACTGGATGTCAAAATGTGGTTTGTTTTGCTAGCCTCATATAGATAGATACACAATAGCTATTTGAATTTACTTTGAGCATATGAAATACAATTTGATGTTTTTGATGGATCTTATTTCTCATTGTAAAGAAATGCTACAAACCTTTGTAATGCGATTTTATAAGTTTGTATTGTAATGTTTCCATTTACCTATTAGTTGGATTTTGAAGACTTTTTTTTCTTTGATAAATGAGTGTCCGGGCCAGCTTGTGCGCATTTGGACTAATCCTGGGGCCCTAAAGGTAACGACCATGCATACCTCCAGTGGCCCTTGAGGTGACTCGAACTCGAGACCTTGGATCTTGTCCTCAGGTCTTTAACGCTCAACCAGCTCCTTAGGATTGGATTTTCAAGACTATTTCATACCAGGCTATAAGAATGTGAAGAATCCTACGCCAAACTCTGCCGGCTGATTTTCTCTTAGAAGCTTTTTCACTATGCTTGGTTACCACTTTTCAAAAACACTTTTCAGAAAATTATACTTTCTTATTTTTCGTATTTTTTTGTTTTTATTGAATTTTTTTAATATTTTGAGCAATTTTTTTAATTTTTAGACATACCTAACATAAATATACCTAAAAAGTAAAAAAAAATTGAAAAAAACCTTTTAAACATTCACTAAATACCAAAAATACAAAAAAAATACGAGAATTCAGTACATTTTTTGTATTTTTATGTATTTATTAATTTTTAAAAATATTTTTTCACAAATTTTTTACTTTTTAGATACATCTAAGTAAGGTGCATCTAAAAAGTAAAAAAAATGTTTAAAATTTTAAAAATATTCACTAAAAACAAAAAAACACGAAAACCAAAAAACTCAATTTTCAAAAAACTTAATTCAAAAAACTCAAACCAAACACACTTATTAGTTTTTGATTTGCTGGACTATCTTAGCTGTGGAGCATTTTATTTATTTCAAATTCCTTTTTATGTATTGTTAATTTAATATTAAAAATGGTTTTCTTACCTTGTGCTAGGATTGATGTTTTACATGGTGTCTTCCTTTTTGTGTGTGCTAGGAGCAGAATGAATCATCTTGTCTGGGCATAAAACTTGCTTCTAAAAAAGAAACTGATATCAAATTTTCTGATGTATATGCTGTTGAGTATATAGACTGGGGTTTGGTTCATGAATCTATTCCTGGAAATGCTGGAGGACGTCTTTTGGGTCATGGATCTGAGGTTGGTCATTCTTGTTCTTTTTCTCTGATTGGAAGTTGTGATTCCCTTATGTCATATGTTTGATTGTGTTTTATAGGTATATAAATTTATGTTATCTACTGCAGATGTACCGCTTTGTGGTGCATGGGTTCCAGAGGTCAAAGTCTCAACCTTGTCTTTGGGCCCCATCTGTATACACCTTTGGTCACAAAGATTTGGATGCATGCCAGATGTGGGTTAATCAGATCACTACTTCTGTAAATGTGGAAACGGGGCGAGAGCGACCAAAGAGTCTTCTGGTATGCTCCATGACCATCAGTAGTTAGATGTTTCAATTTGTGGTTTTTCAGATTGATGTCTTTATTATTCATTTCATCGGGAGATGACATGAACATAAACTAGTATCACATTTTTGCCAGACTTTCTTTGTGTTGACTAGGTTTTTGTTAATCCAAAGAGCGGGAAAACAAATGGATGTAGAACTTGGGAAGTAGTTGCTCCTATATTTTCTTGTGCTAAAGTAAATACGAAGGTAAATTTCTAATGTACATTAATAGATGTTTATATAGTTCCCAAAACTCATTCTTGAACTTCTTCATTTTTTTAAATTAAATTTTTGAATGTGGTGCTCTGATGCAGAGATTTCATTTTGTATTAACTAATGAATGAAGAATGAGACTAGAAAATTTATTCACAAATTGTAAGTTTAGGATCCTATTTGGATGTCAAAAGACAGAAGTATTACCAAATATATTCTCTACAGATTTTGTTCCATATTGGTATGTGCATGTTTGTTATGTCAAATGATTTTTCTTTAGGAAATTATGCAAGAAAAGCATACTTTTACCATGGTATCTAATTGGAGTACTTGATCAGTTTGGGGATAAGTCAAGATTTTCAGATGGGGTTAGCTTTGGGATGAGGAAACAACCTTGATAATTTAAACCATGCCTTTTCCAGTCACCATAAGTTGATACCTATGAAGGACATACACTTCTCCATAGGTCAAGTAACCATGTGTTGGACACGGACACGCTTCACACACATGCTGGACATGCTGGAGACAAGTTGTGTCTTATTTTTATTTTTTAAAAATATTTTTACCGGAATAGCATACCCAAGATTGATGAAATTGATGAGATTAAATATTTGACATAAAATAAGTATATAATATTAAAAAAATATGACATATGATAACTATATAAAATTATATATTTTGAATATGTCATGCATTTTTTGAAAATTTGCATGTCCACATGTGTCCATGTCCATGCTTCTTTGGTTGAGACTTTTAAGATTGAAATTAGTACTTTCTTGTGCAGATCCAAAGTGATAAGATAAATTGCTTTTATAATTTTTAACTATTGTTCTTAATGTTTTTTATGGAAAGTTGTTGCGGTGCGCGCGGTGTAAAGGCCGTAGCATAATGGTTGTGGTAACCGGAACCGTGATTTTTTTATATTTCACACAATTTCAAAAAATTTACCTATACGCATATTTTTTCTTTCCTTTAGAATCACATTTATTAGGGTTTAAAATTGATTTTGACAAATTTTTGTTAGTTTTTAAGTATGATCATATATATTTTATATTTTTAAATCACTATAAAAGGAGTTTTATACATTTTATTTCAATAGTTAATGACTTTAAGAATAATTGATTTTGAATGTCTACAAATTATTTTTGACTAATACCTGAACTAACTGAACAAAAATATTCACAATTATTAAACGAAATGATTATAAAATAAAAATTGTACTATAAACAAAAATTATTTTTTAGGCATCTTTTTAGACTAACACTTTACAACTAACTAATAAAATTATTTACAATTAAATATTAAATGAAATGATTGTAAAAATAAAAATAGTGCCATAAACAAAAATTATTTTTGAGCTACTGATTTTATTTTTTTTCTTAAAGACATTTTTTAGACAACATATTACAGTAACAAAATAAAAAATATTTACAATTAAATATAAAATAAAATGATTATAAAAATAAATACAACCATTATTTATATATATTTTTTTATTTTACATGCTAATGTAATGAAATAAAAAATAAAAAATAAATTATAAAGAAAAAAAAATTCATATAAGATTTTTTATTTGGGCTTGGATCACTTGAATATTTGTTCTTTTTTCGTAAACTTTTGTTTTTGGAAAGTAAGCTATTCAGAATATTGTAAAAGTGTATAACGGACCGTTACGGCCGTTACAATACCGTTACGGTAGTTACGTAACACCGAAATGGCCGTTGCATATGTGAATTTCCATTATACTGTTATAGCGGCCATAACAGGTGGTGGCATGGCCGCTTTTTAAAACCTTGGGCAGGGTACATTTAAATTCAAAAGATCTTGATGAATCAAAGATTAAATCCTTATTTTATAATTTAAATGAAAGGATCTCAGTTATTTAATTTCAGTGATTATTGGAATTCTAACATAAGGTGTAACGCCCCAAATTTTTAGCCCAAATGATAATGCAACAATCATGACTCTCTTAAAGGAAAACCAAATATAACTTCCCATACTTGCATTACATAATAATAATAGTTCCTCATGCGATATTACATTGATTCAACAACAAGTAAATAACCAAATAAGCACCCCCACGGGTTTCCAATCTTTCAAGGCTTAAACCCGGTACACAAAATGGTTATTCAAACCCACACATACATAGCCCTTGGCTTACAAATAGGATCACAGCAAATGACAACTTTAGTGCTCTCAACACACACATTTCCACGCCCCCAATTAGGCGGATTCACCACGTCTTTTCCTTCACAAAAATCCAGTAGGGTAAGCATAAAGCACAGTAGGAAATCTTTAACAAAGTATATACATTTTATACAAGTTTCAAGAGATGAATGCACATGCCATGCAATGCCTTTTTGAAAATAAAACACATCTTCATCTTTTGAAAACCATCATGTTCAATGATGTTATGCAACTTTAACTATTCAAAATTTATCAATTTAATTAAAGGGGGCAGTAAATACAACTCTGGTAATCCCTAGGTCGGTATTTGTAAGTAGACTATACAAGTACTACCAATTGTCATTTTTATCGGTATTAACCGGAAGGCTCGACACCTATCCGCGTGACTTTCAGGTCCTTCACCAAGGACACTCAGGCCACCTTAAACAATTTCATTTATACCACCTATCAGGACTTACCACCGTATTTATCCCAAAATCATTTCATGAAAACCCATTTCCCAATATTCTTTTCTCAATGCAAATTTTCAAAACTTAACATAGTCCAATGAATTGAAATGCCAATGTATGCTTAATAATGCAATGCAACATTACTTCCATATTCAATTGTTCCACACAATATACCATTGTGATCAAAATTCTCAATCCTCTTTTCAACACAATTCCACAAGATGAATATATATATATACCCCATCAAATGGGGTCGGTTACATGAATCTTTGTTCTCCACTCGACTTTATCAGAGGTCATTTGGTTAGTCAAAATAAGGAGATTCATATCTTTATTTACTACACTAAATAAACAATTTTCAAAACATCCATTTATTTTGGTACACAAAATAAATATGACAACATCTTCCAAGGGTTTTCAACATCTTTCAAAGAAAAGACCCAATTTCTAGGTTTTCTCACCAAAATCATTCATCTCCATGATATTTAGAAGAATCTCCCAAAAATCATCTTTCTTCAATCAATATGGTTCAAAATCTTTAATTTCTGTTTTAAAAGGAAAAGAAATTAAACCATCTTTCAAAATCACTCATCTTCTTGAAATCAACAATCAATTTCTCGAAGCTAATCAAAGGATGATTTTGAAAATCATCTAGATCTTGCAAAAACATATATATAATTCTAAGAAAATCACTACCTTAAGTTTTGAAGAAGAAATGAGATGAAACTCCCAAAATCAACGGTGTCGAAACTTGATCTTCACCGCACACAACGAAACCCTCGAGATGATAACCAACTTTAGGGAAGAACTTAGGTCTAAATCCCAATGGATTTGGAGAAATCAAAGAGAGAAGATGACTTCTAGAGAGAGAAGCTCCCGATTTGAAATTCTGGAGAGTTTTAGAGAGAGAGAGGGCTGAAAAAGTGATATGAAATATCAGATTCACGAACTGATATAACATGGTCCGCTCGAGCGTGGAATTCTCCGCTCGAGCGGTAAATACATTAACCCAGTACTTTTGTAGACAGGTCAAACTTCTGAAACTGAACATTCTCCGCTCGAGCGCATAAACAGTCGCTCGAGCAGACAAGCAACTTCGAATGCATTTTGCATTTTTGTTTTGGGGGCGCTGCCCCTCAACCCCGCCAGGGCCCTGCCTTGGGACCCACCAAGGGGCGTTGCCCCTGGACCCCCGCGAGTTGACTGGGCAGCTCAACTCCCGCCAAGGCGCTGCCCTTGGACCCTCCAAGGGGCGCTGCCCCCTGGACTCCCACGAGCTGACCGGGTAGCTCGACCCCCGACTGGCCCAGTCGAAGTGGCAAATCATGAAAGAATGATCGAAACCAGGATCGCTACATAAGGCATTAGCTGGTATGAGGAGCAAGGTCACTTATTAGCTCAAATGTCCTATGCCCCATGTATGCCCATCTGGATTATTCAGACAGTGTAAAGAGTTTAATTACATATTTTTTATATGTGAGATTAACGAAGCCCATACCAATAGGGCTCAACAAAATGTGTTTCTGTAAGTCAAAAAAAGTTATGTTGAGACGCCCTTAACGTTTTGTGAGGAGCCCAGACTGAAAAACAAAAATGTAATTTGACCAGAGAATACCTTGCTTTAAAGTATGACTATTTCTCTTCTTCCCAATGCACCCGAAAGTACCATGGGGTACTGCATTCAGCAATTTATCTATTTGACTTATCTTCAGCGTTGATTAAATAAATAAGTTATAATCATCTCTGTTAGCTTTAAACTTTGGAGTAGTTGGCTGTCGAGTTCACATAGTGCATGAAAATCTTGGCACCTCCTTTATTATCATGATCCATTCATATCCTTGTCCTTCTCATGCTAAGTCTTGCCAAGGTCTGACGCAACAGAATTATCACACAGAATTAGATATCGTTCTAGTAGACAAAATTTGGAACCACATAAATAAAACCTTGAATCTATAAGGAAGAGAAGAATTTTTAAAGGAAATTTAAATATTATCGATAAAAGTTGATGTGCCCTTAGGCTTATATAGGTATTTATACTAAACCAAGTTCTGGAGACCAAGTAATCTTGGAGATCAAAAAATGTAAAAATAAGTAAACAACCTAAATCAAGCAATCTAAAAATTAAGAAAACAAAATCAATGCAAATTAAGAAATCTAATAATTATAGGGATATTCATACCAATTTATAAGATTCCTAATAAAATACTAATTTCAAAATACTCAAAATAAAAATATAGGAACTCTTAAAATCTTGTCCTACATCAAACTCCCCTTTTCAATAAACTCATTCTTGGGTTTCAGTTGCTTGAAACAACTTGAGATATCTACATTTGTCCGCATCCACTTTATACTTGAGAT